TACAGTTGTGGCTTGTAGGTTTGAAAAATTCTGAAGACAACATTTGAAATTTATATTTTTTTACATTGTAAATGACTTTAAGGAGATGCTATTATATATATATATATATATATATATATATATATATATATATATATATATATATATATATATATATTAGGGATGTAACGGTATCAGAATTTCACGGTACGGTAATACCTCGGTATGAATGTCACGGTACGGTATTTATTGAATCATTTACAGGAAAAAACAAAACTTATGCAAATACTCCAAAAAAGTGCCAAAAGTGTCAATGACATACAAATTAGCCATCTATCTGTAAGCTTTGAAACAGGAACTTCAATTTTAATAACAAAAAAATATTAAACCATGTAAAAAAAAATAAAGTTTTAATTTAGTATTGTTGAAAACTCATCACATTCAACATTTAATCACTCACTCACAGATAGAAATGGGTTTAAAGGAAAATTATCATATAAATATAATCTGGTAAAAGCTGGTATCTCTGGGCATTTACAATGTCCACTGCAACAGAAAAAAACCCCTCTCATTTGGGACTGAGGTTTCTGGGACAAGTGAGATATGACTTGGCCCAGGTTGACAGCAGTGGGTAACGTTGTGCATTGTCTTTCCCCCACTTGAGAAGACAAACCATGAGTAAGATAGAGGTCTCATGTCTGCATCACTCTGAACAGTGTGCTGACAACACCGCTATTCAGTACGCGCACGACAACACAGCTGATAAGAACTCGCGCGACAACACAGCTGATAAGAACTCGCGCGACAACACAGCTATTCAGTACGCGCGTGGCGACAACACCCGCTTTAGAGTTTTCCAGCTCTTTTCATCCCCGCTTCTAGCAGCACACTCCATTTCCGCATTACTGGATCTGTAGCGACAACAGACCGCAAGGGATGATGGTCAGGCATGGGCTGATGGGAATTGTAGTTTTCGCTACCTCCCGTTCGCTTCATTCGCCTGAGCAAATTTTCTCAGAAGACCTATTGTTTTACCGAGTCATGCGACTTCGGTAATATCGAAAAAAATTAATATTGCGGTATGACGGTATTTACAATACCGTTACATCCCTAATATATATATATATATATATATATATATATATATATATATATATATATATATATATATATATATATATATATATATATATATATATATATATTATCAGGTGGCGCTGTAACTGTTACAAAGGTTAAAAGTTATATAAAATAGTTTTTTTTTGCAGTTTAAGTGTAAAGTAAGGGGACACTGACAGCAAAGGTGCAAATCCAAATGCAGGGTTTATTAGGAGATTAGTAAAGCAAGCTACAGTCAACAAAGGGGCAAACAGGTACATACGGATCATCCAAAATGCAAAATCATAAACAGGCAATTGGTCAGTCCTGGCAGTAAGCAAAGTAAACAATAATACAAAGCAAAGGTCAAACACTGCAAGGCAAATGAAACACGTTGTGATGTCACAAATAAAGTAAACAGATAAACAAGACTCAGCAACCCATGTAAAGTCCATGTAATCAGTTATAAACAGCTTCAGCTGTGTGTGTTAGCAATCAGCAGAAAACCGGAACAGGTGTGAGTGTGTGGTGCATGCAAGGGTCTGTAGTCCATATGGAGTTGTAGTCCTACGTGAAAGTGAATGATTTTCAGTGATCTAGTTCGCAGGTGATTGTGACATTAAGTTCTCACACATTTTTTTCAGTATATGTTTATTTTTATCACCTAAACCAAGAATAAAATTTATTTTTAAACACACCTCAAGAGTATTTGCACACACCAGCTTTATTTGCTGCCAGGTTCTTGCATGTGCATTTTCTTTCACAAGGCTGAAGGCAGAAAAAAGTCCCTTTCTGTGATTGTTCTTGTATCGCGCTTATTTGTTTTTCTGTATTTTAACTTAGAGCAATTTAAAAAATACTGTATTTTAATGGCGCCAAGAGGATATTTCCCAAGATGCAAATTTAAAATAAAGTACCATACTGTAAAACTGTTCTACAGTAAAATACAGTTCATTTTACAGTTAAATACTGTGTAATTTACAGAAATTGTTAACAGTGTACCCACTAACAGCCAAAACACAGTAAAGTAACCACCTAGAATTTTTATATAAAGCACAGGTAATTTAAATTGAGTCTCACTTCACAGGCAGGTCATTCATTCATTTTCTTTTTGGATTTTTCCCTTTATTAATCTCTGGTTGCCACAGCGGAATGAACCGGCAACTAATCCAGCATATTTTTTTACGCAGCGGATAGCCTTCCAGCTGCAACCCATCACTGGGAAACATCCATACACACATTTACACACACTCATACATTATGGTCAATTTTAGCTTACCCAATTCACCTATACCACATGTCTTTGGACTATGGGAGAAAACAGAGCACCCGGAGGAAACCTACGCGAACGCAGGGAGAACATGCAAACTCCACACGGAAACGCCAACTGACCCAGCTGAGGCTCGAACCGGCAACCTTCTTGCTGTAAGGTGAACATGCTATCGCCACCGCGTCACCTCACAGGCAGTTCATTAACAATTATCTGGAGCATTGAGGAATCCAGAGATCATCAGCTTCGATTCCCAGGAATTTTCATTATTTTGGGTGAACTATCCCTTTAATGTATCCAGGGGCGGACTGGGACTAAAAATCAGCCCTGGCACTGTAGCCACACCAGCCCATATTCCACACCGACACAGCCCAATCCTTGGACACGCACATTCACTACTTATATTGGTGTACAAATGGTAAAATAATATAAGCAGTTCCATAGGCAATAGATATTTAAACATTTAATGTGTTTGACTGGAACAAAACAACCCGTTTATAACAAATTTATACATGCAATCATTTCATTCATTCATTTTCTTTTAGGCTTAGTCCCTTTATTAATCTGGGATCACCACAGCGGAATGAACTGCCAATTTATACAGCATATGTTTTATGCAGCGGATAGCCAGTTCACCTATAGTACATGTGTTTGTGTGGCACTTATGGTTTGTTTGACATTCTTTTAGAATTTGATCATGTCTGTGTAACCTCTGATTTGGTCGGCCCATCTCGAAACCAGCCGGCTATTGCCGATTGGGCCAATGCTTAACATTTATTATTATTATTACTATCATCATCAACATCATAATATTCATATCTTGCAAGAGATAAAAGCTGACTGGATGTAAAAACAATACATGAAAAAAATAAAAATAAAAAAATAGCATAACGGCCCACATTTAAAAAATGGTCCAGCCCATCTGGCATTTGCCAGAATTGCCCGATGGCCAGTCCGTCCCTGAATGTATCTTTACTAAATGTTTTGATTGTATATTTTATGTTTATTTATACTTATCCAGCACTGTCTGGGAAACATCCATACAAACTCATTTACACACACTCATACACTACAGCCAAATTAGTTTACTCAGTTCATCTATAGCACATGTCTTTGGACTGTGGGGGAAACCGGAGCACCCGGAGGAAACCCATGCAAACACAGGGAGAAAATGCAAACTCCACACAGAAATGCCAGCTGGGACTCAAACCAGCAACCTTCTTGGTGGGAGGCGATGGTGCTAACCACTGAGCCACCATGTCCCAGGAAGATGCTGTTTTGTAACATGAGAAACTGTATGTGTGCATGACTGGAGACATCCTGATTCTCTCTGTATTCAGGACAGAGACAGAAAGTGTGCAGTGACATAACAAGCAGCTGACCACATCCATCAATATCTGCCTTCCCTCTGCCAGCAAAGACAATGACGGGTTTCATCTCACATTTAATGCATGTCTGCAGCAAATATAGCAAACTAAATCCATAGAGTGAAAACCCAACAAAGTTTTAAAGCAGTTTGCTATTGAGTTTGTGTCTTTTTTTTCTTTTTTTTTTTTGCCATGAGACAATAAAACTGAGATCTTATAAAAAAGGATGTCATAAGGATTAGAAATGTAGCCTGATGCTCAAGCTTTACATTGTATAGTTTCCATGTCTTGTGTCACATGCTGAGTTTGTGTTTCAGTTTTGCAATAATAATTTTAACTGCATTACAAAGCAAAATGTCTCTGTCAAAATGCCACATTACCACAATGTCCGTTCAGACATAATAGCTTTTATAATGATATTATCACAGTATTGCTGCCAAAAAAGTTTAGCCTATTCTAATAGGGTTAGCTAACATAAATAACTCATTCATTCATTCATTCATTCATTCATTCATTCATTCATTCATTCATTCATTCATTCGTTCATTTTCTTTTCAGTTTAGTCCCTTTATTAATCTGGGGTCGACACCGCAGCATGAGCTGCCAACTTATCCAGAATATGTTTTACGTAGCGGATGCCCTTTCAGCTGCAACCCATCACTGGGACACATCCATAGACACTCATTTACACACACACTACAGGCAGGAAACCCATGTGAACGCGGAGAGAACATTCAAACTCCACACAGAAATGCCAACTCACATTTAAGGGATAGTACAGCTAAACATTTTGATTTACTTAGGTTTTCTATTTACACTCCCTCAATTGATTCCAAGCCTTTATGGGTTTTTTTTCCTTCTGTCCAGCACTAAAGAAGGTATTTTGAAGAATGTTAGAATCTGGTACTGGTATCCAAAACATAAAACTATGGAATTCAATGATTACTGGTTTCAAACAATTTGATATCATCTTTATCAGAAGAAAAAAATACTTTTTTGGAGGTTTGGAGCAAGTCAAGGGGGAATAAATGTCAGATTTTTTAGTTTTGTGTTAACTATTCCTTTAACATAAGGGTCCACCAGGGGGCAACCACTCGGCAGGCAGGCTATTATGGAAAATTAATTTTTATCACCAAAAGCCTCATTAATAATTTACAACAAACTGAATACAAATAAACACTACACATCAATCCCAACGTTGTCAAATTAAAGCACAGTCTGCTCTAAATAATTTTGTTTTAAATGTATTTACTTATTTTGTCTACGTCATAAAGTCACATGATCGCCCGAATGACAGTCAGGAAGAAAGATGGCGATCTTCAGTGTGTATGTTGTCAATAAAGCTGGTGGACTTATTTACCAGTACGATAATTATGTACCTCGAGCTGAAGTGGAAAAAACATTTAGCTTTCCGCTCGATTTAGTGTTAAAGATTCACGATGAGAAGGTTGTCGTGTCATTCGGACAGCGGGACGGAATCAGAGGTGTGTGTGCAAAACATCACACGGGTAAATGCACATTTATAGGTTCTTTCCGTCTGTTTTGGTCAATTACATGATGTGTTTTTCTTTTATGAAGTGGGTCATGCGGTTCTGTCCATTAATGGGGTAGACGTGAATGGTAAATTCACTGCGGAAGGGAAGGAGATTCAGGAGTATCTGAGAGATCCTGCAAACTATCCAGTGTCCATCAGATTCGGCAGACAGAGACTCTCTTCAAACGAGAAGCTCATGCTGGCCTCAATGTTTCACTCGTGAGTAACACTTACATTTATTTATTTTACGCCATTGTCTTTATTTTATTAATGTTTTTTCTAACATGTAAATTTAACATTGAATGATATTCTGCTTATATCTTATCAAGGTAAAGTTGGTTTATTCACACATTCGTTCAATGACAGCTTGTGACACGGTTGCTGTATTGTTTACCATACTACTTTGAATATTCGGTCAGAAATAGTATGCACGTATGACTTAAGCAACATTAGCACTATTTAATCGTGAACAATGTTGCACTTTGATAGTCTTTGGTAGTCTATTTTTGGGTGAAAACAGTATTTTCCTGATTAACTTTAATGTTCTTTTTAAAATTATATATATATATATATATATATATATATATATATATATATATATATATATATATATATATATATATTTTTTTTTTTTTTTTTTAAGTACCCTTTTTTTACTCAAAAAGAATGAATAAATAAATGAAAAAGAACACTTTTGATGTACAGTTGAAGTAGCCCCCTCTTATTTATTTATTTATTTTTTTATATTTCCCGAATAATGTTTAACAGTGAACATTTTGCTTACTTGCTCACTATGTCTAATAATATGTTTTTAATTAAATAAGCAGTTTAAGATTTTTTCTAAAACCATTTTAAGGTCAAAATTATTAACCCTTTAAGCTACATTTTTTTGATAATCTACAGAACAACCATCTTTATACAATAACTTGCCTAATTACCCTTATCTACCTAGTTAACCTAATTAACCTTGTTAAGCCTTTAAATGTCACTTTAAGCTGTATAAAAGTGTCTTAAAAAACTAGTCAAATCTTATTTACTGTGATCATGGAAAGATAAAATAATCCAGTTATTAGAAACGAGTCATTAAAGCTATTATGTTTAGAAATGTGTTCAATTTTGAACAAAATATAAACGGGGGTTGATAATTCAGGGGGCTTATAATTCTGACTTCAACTTTATAGAGAGAAATACTAAAATGTAAAGCTTTATTTGAAATTTATTGTTTTTATGCTTAAAATCCATGTACTGTATATTGCCTTCAAGAAGTTTAGGGTCGGAACGATTTTGCTTTTGTTAAATATCTTTGCATATCAATAACAAAATAAAACAGTAAAATGTGAACATTTTTAAATGTTTTCTATAACATGCAGTTGGATTCAGAATTATTAAACCCTCTTTGATTTTTTTTTTTCTCTTTTTAAAATATTTCCCAAATGATGTTTAACAGAGCAAGAAAATTTTCACAGTATGTCTGATAATATTTTTTTTTCTTCTGGAGAAAGTCTTATATTTTATGTCGTCTAGAATAAAAGCATTAAAAAAAAACATTTTAAGGTCAAAATTATTAGCCCCTTTAAGTTTTTTTTCCCCAATAGTCTACAGAACAAACTATTATTACACAATAACTTGTCTAATTACTCTAACCTTCCTAGTTAACCTAATTAACCTAGTTAAGCCTTTAAATGACACTTTAAGCTGTGTAAAAGTGTCTTAAAAAAACCTAGTCAAATATTATTCACTCCCATCATGGCAAAGATAAAAGAAATCAGTTATTAGAAATGAGTTATTAAAACTATTATGTTTAGAAATGTGTTAAAAAAAAATCTTCTCTCCGGTTAACAGAAATTGGGGAAAACATAAACAGGGGGGCTAATAATTCTGACCTCAACTGTATATTTAAATAATTATGTATTTTATTCCTAGTTCATTACTTCAGTCTTAAGTGCCATGTGATCCTACAGAAATCAGTCCAACATAATCAGTCTAAATATAATCAGTCAGAAATCAGTCTAATGTAATATAATTTCCATTCAAATTTCATCAAGGTCATGAATACATCAACATTAGTTCTGCTTAATGTTTTTGTTTGATCCATTATTTCAGAAATTCAGAAGTAGAGCAATTGTTTACATCTTTTGTAACTTGTTTATCATTATATCGCATCCTCGCTGAATAAGATGATTAATTTCTTTAAACGTTACTCAACCTACACTTTTGAACAACAATATAGTACTTGCATAGACCATTATCATCATAATCACAAGCACAACGATGTTAAATATTATACAAAATTCTCAGTTTTTCTTTCCAATTATATTCTATGTGTTTATCATGTAATTATTTTTTCTATTTCTCTCCTAAGGCTCTTTGCTATTGGATCACAGTTGTCACCAGAAGTTGGCAGCTCTGGCATTGAAATGCTGGAGACAGATATGTTTAAACTGCACTGCTTTCAGACACTCACAGGTTGACATTTTCCACTGTTAAAACGATATTTTAATCTGAGGCGCTGAAGAAAACCACAGTAGTTCTGACAGATTTTTATTTTGACAGGTATAAAGTTCATTGTATTGGCAGACCCTCGACAGTCTGGCATCGATGCCCTGCTTAGAAAGATTTATGAAATCTACTCCGACTTTGCACTGAAGAACCCGTTCTACTCTTTAGAGATGCCTATCAGGTGTGTAATATCTTTATTTATATTTTTGTACTAATTTTAAAGGCATTACAGTTAAAGTACTCTACCTCAGGCCATTAAACATATGTGTTAACACATTTATCTATACTTAGTTAATTATACATTATACTGTATTAATGTTTACTCTTTTGCATGCTCCTTAATTGCCTAGTCTGTTTAAATTATTTTAGTTAATTTTTTTAGAGCTGCACGATATTGGAAAAATCTGACTTTTTGCGATTTATATATTGCGATATCAAATTAATCTCACCCCATGGATTTAAAAAGCTCTATTTGGAAAGAAATTATTTATTTGGATTGGTTAGGATGATTCTCCAGGGGATTTGATTGTGCATAAAATATAATAAAACAAATTATAAGCATAGGTAGCAAAGATAAAAGCGAAATAAACCGTGCTTTATGGGTTTCTGTGGAGTCTTAACTGTTTTCAGGTTATGAAATTGAATAATCAATTGTAAAATAACTGTTTCCATTGTATGAGTAATTCAATAAAATTAATCGTTATTAAAGTTACAAACGGTCAAATTTCTTTTGACTGAATGCTTTAACCTCTCCTGAAATGCTCACAGTCACAGCCTTTAAAAACATATGCAATAATAGTATTTGCAATATATCATATCATTACATAAGTAAATCCTTTAAAAACAAATAATAAGAAATATAACTTTTCTAAGCAAATATTATATTGTTAGAAATATCATTGGCGCAAGATTCCACAACTATATCGCATATTGTATATTTTGTCAGTGTCATGAATTCCTATATATAATAAACTTTCACTCATTTATGGTGAAACTTTGCATTGACTCCACATGCAATCTCATCTGTTTCAGGACTCGCAACATTTCAAAATCCCTGCCCTCTTCAACTTTTGGGAGCCCGAATTAAATTCAAGTGGCCCGAATAGAAAATACATTATTTACTAAATAAAAAGAGATGCATACAGTTTATTTGCTAAAAAAAAATTATAATTGCAGTCATTATAGGCTACATATATAGTTTTGAACATTACCTAATCTTATGTATTAATTTATTTTCATTCATTCCCTGGAAAAGAATTGTGTTAAAAACTGGTAGGACTACCTTTTTGGTTAGTTTTTTTATCTATTTGGTTCCAAATACCAGTTTTGACAACACCAGTTTGCGCAAACCCAAATTCAAATGGTAGTAGCTTTTCAAGGCATAAAAGGGCATGCAGTATAATTACCCATTTTGTGAGAGAATGCAAGTAATAGGCTATATTTTTCCTTCTTTAAGATAGCCTGATGGGCAGGGTGGATTAACCAAAACTTAACTTGAATGGAAAACAATACCCTGTGACACCAAGCTAATAGTTTTGTTAGCCCTGTGTTTTGATCAATTATAATTCCAAAATGTAAACTTAACAAAACACATCCTGTGATGTGACTAGATATCAATGCTGAAACTATATATTGTGCAGCCCTAACCTTAAACACCTTTTGTCATACAGTGTGGACAGAATCTTGAATATGTAGGTTGTACGTTTTCTTCAGTAAAGAAGATATTTAGCTGAATCCGTGGTCCCTGGTGATTTGTATTATGTCAATGGGCATTTTTGAGATTAAAAATAAACACATATAAACAACTCTGAATCAATCCTGGCAAAGAGCTTAGAATGACCAAGAGGCGACACTCAATTGAACGTTCCATTGCAACAGCCCCGGATTCCACCATTTTGGAGTGAAAGCTATCGGCCGTCCATTGAATCTTATTGCTGTCGCAATGTTAAGCAGCTGCTTTGTTTTTTATGTATTTATTTAAAAAGCGCATTAAAGCTGAGATACAACCTGAAAGACGACAATACAACACTTACTATCACAATCATCAGCACTTTTAATAGTTTATTTTACAGGCCAGGCCCAGATTGGCCATTTGGGAGGACCGGGAGAGTTCCCGGTGGGCCGTTCCATTTTTTGGCCACGAGGGCCGGTGTTTCTAGCTGCTTGCACTCTCAGCAGTCGCACTTTTTTTCATTTATTTATTTATTTGACCATAGCCTCACTCTGTTTATTCATTATTTGGCCGCAGCTCCGCTCTTCTTATTTATTGTCTCGCAGCCCCTTGAGAAAAATGCAGCCTGCAGGGTAATGATGATGTAACTACCATTCCGGCCACACAAGTGTAACAGTGCCATTGTGGTCCAGTGGTCAGCACGTTACGTTACGACGTCGTCGATCCGTGTTCAATTCTCACCTGAGTAATTTATTTATTTTTTTTTCATTTTTATTGTTAAGACATATAAAACTGTAAGGTTGTTGAACATTTGAAGTTCTAAAGCAGTTGTTTTCTTGAAAAAGACGTGATAGTGTCATTAGAAACTGAATTGGAAATGACCTTATTTTAATATAGTAAGTCATGAACTGAGGTGGGCCAGTCTAAGGCTTGAAACTCCTGGGCTGAAAAGGAGTCCCACTCCGGCCCTGTTACAGGCTTATATGCTGTAGTTCTATTGGAGTTTTCATTCCAAAATGGCCGCCGCGCCATCTAGTGACTGTTTGCTAAATTGCACTAGAGTGTCGCCTCTTGGTGATTCTGTGCTCTTTGATCCTGGTCTTTTGAAAGGCCTGAGGGGAATTAAAATGAACGGTGAATTTTCAGTTTTGAATGAACTACCCCTTTCATCATAGCAATGTATGGAGTTTAATGTGTAGTATATAACAAAAAAACAATGCTTAATTTTCTTTCAGATGTGAACTATTTGACCAAAACCTAAAGAGTGCCCTGGAAATAGCAGAGAAAGCAGGGACGTTTGGACCAGGGTCCTGAATTGAACTGTCCAGAAGTACAGCCAAAGTATTTCCATCAACTTTTTAAGGAAAACAAACAAGACTTTTTCACAAGCTCAAATAATTTAACCCTGGACTATTATACACTGTTCCTCAAATTAAGTCTAAAATTTACAGCGAGAACTGTTTCACATTAATTTTGTAAATAATGTACATGGATGCAGTTTGTTTGCAATATTCATGCAGAACCTCGAAAGAAAATGGTGCAGCTCAACAAATGTTCATTGAAGTATGTTTATTACCATCTATACAAGTATCATTGATGTGGCGTTTGTGTTTGTGTGTGTAATTTACTCCCTGTTAACAGAAAATGAAAAGTCTAAACCTTGGATCTGTAGTTTGGGTCCAAAATGTGCTCAAAGAGAAAATATTTTAATTCTGTCATCATTTACTTTATGTTGGAAACCGGTAACCATTGCATCCATAGTATTTGTTTCTCCTACTATAGAAGTCAATGGTTACTCGTTTTTAACATTCTTCAAAGTATCTTTTTTGTGTTTAACTTAACAATAAAATCTTTAAACTGGTTTGAAATGCGTCAATGGTGAGAAAATGAGGACAGAATTACCATTTGGGTGGGTGAACTATCCCTTTCAGTTAAAAAGAGGTCAAACAAAGATGTCAGGAAAATCTTTCCTTTTTTAATTTATTACATTGTGTTATTAAACATTCATGTGATAACATTCTTATGTCACATATGTCATATTTTTAATACAATAGAGGTAGGACCAGTTAAAGCTTTGAAAGGCATAAAGAAATGCACGCTATTCTTAAATGGCTTTAACCTGCCTTAATGAACTACTTATATACAGTCAAAAATGCTGCTCGTTTAAACTACTTATTTAAAGTGAGTTCAAACAACAAAACTCTTAAGTTTCTTCTGGGAGAACTTAAATGTTTTATGTTCAATCCACTTAAATTTGTAAAAACGATCTATTTGTGTTGAGTCTGTAATCTGTTTTTTAAAACGAGCAGAATAAATAACATGATGTGCTTCTGAAAGTGACACAACATGATATCTCAATTTGTACGTTTGTAAAAATAAAGTGTGAAATCTTGATAATAGACATTCATTCTATAAACAAAAAAGCGCTTTTCCACACTTTCAAAACATGCCCTTTATTCTTAGAAACTAGTTCAAATATATTTAAATAACACTCTAATGTCTAGTCTGCCTTCTTGGGAATGCTTCCCATCTTGGTGCGTATATTTCGGAGCAGGAAGTATCCAACTGTTGTGACCATGCAGGCTATTTCTGCTACCCAGAATGCTGTGTTCCAGCCGTGGTGTTTAGCAACGGTTCCGAATGGCAAGCCTGACAGAAAACCACCAACTGTTGGGAAAGCAAACACAAAAATGCATTAGTGTTCTTTGAGATGGACAACAGGAGTCTGTTCTTTGTACCTTGCTTAAATAATCAAAGATTATTTGACAGATCCTGGATCTTATAATCTTGATAACCGATCTCTGGCTAATTTGGTTCTTTAAACAAGTTTGTGAATCAGATTACATGTCTGGCTGAAGACACAGCAGTGAATTACAACATCGGATTAATATTCAATTATCATGTGAGCAAAATTATATAAGATTCGTGGTAAAATATGATGCCTAATAACCTTCCACATTTGTTGTGAGCTGCAGGTTATACTCTGTCAGGTGTTAAGAGTATTTAGCAATTTATTTAGTATTAGATTTTCTGGTGACACTTTATAATAACTACACACTATAAATCATTTATTAAACATTAGCAAATAGTGAATTAATTATCTGTAAAGCATTACCTCTACATTAATAAGCGTTAGTAAGCAGTTTGTAACTGCAGCTACAAATGCTCTATTCTTGACTTACAAACATATTTAAAATGTGCTTAATAATTGTATACTTAATGATTTATTTTTTATTACTAAATTAAGTATCGCATTATTTACAAACCATTTGTATTTAAGAGTAATTGAGGGTTTTTTGGATCATTCAGAATGAGTTAGTAAATGATTGATAAACTATTGAAATCAACATTTATATGTCTTATTATTCAACCATATATTAATGGTTACTATGCATGTTAATAAATGCTTTATTAACTCAACTTCAACCAGTTTTGTGACCTAATCTAAAGTGAGGACTATTCATGCTTATATCCCTTATAAATGACAAATAAAGGCTCAGTTAAATTCTAAACAGGAATGACATTATTCATTCCTATTCATTTAAAGATACACAAATGAAACTGTACTTCAAATGAAAAATAAATCTTTGCAACCTGATCTAAAATAACATCACTGTAGAGTTTAAACATTGCATCCTATTATATTGTTGTTTTATCCAGTTTTATGTCGTATTTTGCCACTCTTTTGGCTGTTTAACCTTTATGTTTAAACTTTACATTAATTTCACTTTTTAGATAAGATTGCAAGGATTATTGTTCATTTGATTCTGAGCCTTTAATTGTCATTTATAAGGGATTTATAAAGCATAAATAGTCCTCACTTTAGATTAGGTCACAAAAATTGCATGAAGTTGACTTAATAAAGCATTTACTAACATATAACTATTAATATATGCCCGAATAATAAGACATAAAAAATTTGATTTCAATAGTTTAATAATCATTTACTATGTCATCCTGAATGATCCAAAAATCCCTCAACTACTCTTAAATACAACTGGTTTGTAGATAATGCGATACTTAATTTAGTAATGAAAAACAAATCGTTAACTAAGTATGAAAATACAATTATTAAGCACATTATATAGGTGCTAATAAGTCAAGAATAGAGCATTTGTAGCTGCAGTTATAAACTGCTCACTAACGCTTATTAATGTAGAGTTAATGCTTAACAGATAATGATATCCCTATTAGCTAATGCTTAATAAATGATTTATAGTGTGTAGTTATTATAAAGTGTTACCAGTGTTTCCTTTAATCAAGCAAAATAATCTGCAAATGGGGTAAGCAAAATAATCTTGTTTTTCGATTTGTGACAAGATTATTTTGCTGATTATTATTTCATTCTTCAAAATCTCATCAGAGAGCTGTTGTCATAGCAACAGTTCTGGTAGCTCATACCTGCTCTGTAGCAGGCTTATTTCATACAGGATTTTGCAAATGTAATACTGGAAGTATGTACTGAATGCTACATTTTCTTACAGTAGTAGTTGTATACAGTTGGGAAAATAGTATATGTATATATATATATATATATATATATATATATATATATATATATATATATATAACAGTTAAATTAATAGCCCTGTTTATTTTTCCCCCCAATTTTTGTTTAACTGAGAAAAGATTTTTTTCAACACATTTCTATTCATAATAGTTTTCATAATAGTTTTCATTTCTGATAATTTTATTTTTATTTTAGATTTATTTTATCTTTGCCATGATGAAAGTATAATAGTATAATAAATAATAGTATAATGAAGAAATATATTTTGTTAGATATTTTAAAAATACTTCTATACAGCTTAAGGTGACATTTAAAGGCTTATATATATATATATATATATATATATATATATATTTTTTTTTTTTTTATTTACCAAGATCATTTAAATGTGAATCTAAAACATTGCAAATAAAAACAAAAAAAAATGCTTTGTTTAATAAATAGATGCTTTCTATTCTACATGTTAAAAATGACAAAACACTAAAACCACGTTTTAGCGTTTACCATGTAACTGTGGACTATTTGGGAAACCCTGTGTGCCTTTAATCTTTTAAACAGCAACAACAACAAAAAAATTATGTATTTTAAGAGATGCATCATGGATAAATATACAAGCTTTAAACAAATATTACATTTAATATTTATAGGCTTATAATTTATTATAATTTATTAGCAGAGAAGTTGTCTGCCGCTTTAGAAATATCACTTCTGTATTTGAGCTGTGAAATTTACTGCATTCGAATCCAATGGAATTGTTCCGTAATAGGAATTGACAATGAGTACATGTGCCAGGGCCAAAAAGCAACAGTACAATAATCTGAAAGAATGATTACCATTTGCCATTAGTGCGACAATGGCGTGAGAAGTCCCGCAGTAGTTTGACGGAGCGCTTTCATTCGCAAGAACTCCAAACAAGGCAATCGGTCCATAGGAGGAAAAGCCAAAAGCAGCACCCAACAAGAGAATCCAGACCTGTGTGTGGGAGGAAAAACACCTCATGAAGACCTTTCTTTCTTGCACTGAGATTCTTCGGTTAACAGTAAGTTTGGATGGGTTTGTTAGTTCTGTAGTGTTAGTCAAAGATAGGTACAATTCGTTTAGTTATTTCGGCACACAAAAATTTTCTTGAAGTCATGTTAATTGTTTTGATGTTGATACTTTGGGTTATTTTCTCAGGGGCGTTGATGTCTGAAGGATGAGAGAGCTCTCAGGTTTCATCTAAAATATCTTCATTTGAGTTCTGAGGATGAACGAAGATATCAAGGGTTTGGAATGACATAACGGTGAGTGATTAATAACAGAATTTCCTTTGTTTTTTGGTGAACTAACCCTTTAAGGAGAGGGACATTCTTAGTCTAGGAGCATGTGATTGGACCAAAATCAGTGCAGTGCAGGATGAGTCAGTTTTGTTCAGCTGTAATTATGTAAGTGAGCTTACGTTTGAGCTGTGTGCCGTGACAGTTGTGCGGAAGAGGTACATGGACACAAACATCCCAGCCATCATGGAGAGCAAGAGCCCATGCCGAGGGTTACCATACAATCGCAATCCATGCTGAATCACAAAAGAGGAGCAAAACAACACACTTAATGCACAAACACGAGTGTTTAAAACTTTGCATCAGTTATCTTTTTAGAATTAATGCTTTATTCAGCAAACATGCACTATTTAAATAGTAATTTAACACAAATATGCAGCTGTGGGGAGTAGGAGAGAACATGGTGTCTATTGGTGGTGTAAAGTCACCTTTGCCACGGCTCTGTCTGACAGGAATCCTGCAGCTAAACTACCCAGCAGTCCTCCGATTTCAAGGGCACTCATGAAGGAACTGCCTGTGAAAATGAGCAGCATTGCACATTATTTTATCATTTAAAACCACAGACTTTTTATTTGTGAGAATTTAGGAGAGTAGACTTGCTATTCTATTTCTACATGTATACTTCTTTTCTGAATGGACATCACTATAATTAATTTATGAAAATGTACTGCAACAGTTCACCAATACAGTTTTTTTTACTACTGCAAGCCATAAATTCAAAATTGTGAGTTTACTTCCTCAGAATTCCGACTTTCTCAAAATTATAAATTATAATAACGTCAGAGCTGAGATTATGTCTTGCAATTTTCATGTTATTGAACAAGCGATGTGAATTTATGATGTGCAATTGCAAGAAAAAAGTCTAAATTATTTGATGTAAACTCTAAGCAGCAGTGCCCAAACGTTTTCTTACGAAAGGCCAAAAACCAAACTTTATTGAGATCTGTGGGCAAGAGCATCATTTTTTTTTCAACGCGTTAAATATTTCAAATTAATTAGAAATATAGTTTTATTAACTTGTTTCTAATAACTGATTTATTTTATCTTTGCCATGATGACAGTAAATAATATTTTACTAGATCGTTTTCAACACACTTCTGTACAGCTTAAAGTGACATTTAAAGGCGTAACTAGGTTAATTAGGGTAACTAGGCAGGTTAGGGTAATTAGGCAAGTTATTGTATAACAATGGTTTGTTCTGTAGACTATCAAAAAATAGCTTAAAGGGCTAATAATCTTGATCTTAGAATGGATTTTAAAAAAATTCTGCTTTTATTCTAGCCAAAATAAAAAAAAAAATTAGACTTTCTCTAGAAGAAAAACATATTATCAGACATACTGTGAAAATGTCCGTGGTCAGTTAAACATACTTTGGGCAATATTTAAAAAAGAAAAGAAATTCACAGTGGGGCTAATAATTCTAATATTATATTAAATCTCGGCATTTTGTTAATCTACATGTAGATTAATCTCACTGTAATCTTAAAATTAATCTAGATTAATATAGATTTAAATGACTTGATTTGAATTCTGCTGAAAGCATTCAGAATATGTGTGCTACCCAAATAATGACAAAATGAAAGTCTTCACTAAACGGGTTTCTCAAACAAGGGGCTCATCTCCGGTTTCCAAAGAGCATCACAAAGTGCTTGAGAAACTGTTCTACTATGATAATTGGTGATGAAAATAAATTATGTTTAATAAGATTTACTTTAATGTGTGTTTAGTAACTGTTTATTCAGTTAAACATGAAATTTAAACTGTAGGCCTACATAAGCTCGTAACAGCAATTTTTGATCACCTTAACCCAGGGGTCGGCACCTCGCGGCTCTAGAGCCGCATGCGGCTCTTTAGCGCTGCCCTAGTGGCTCCCTGGAACTTTTTCAAAAAATGTTTGAAAATGGAAAACGATGAGGGAGGAAAACATATTTTTTGTTTTAATATGGTTTCTATAGGAGGACAAACAATCTTAACGTTTTCCGATGCTGTAAAAGTGTGTAGAATATTTAATTTCAACATTTCTGTCAACGAAGATTTGCGTCATAGCCTGCGACACACGTTTCTATCAGCAGGGCGGGATGCCAGGCAGGTAGCTGTTGTAAACAAACCGGCGGCTGTGTGATGCGCCATGGAGCGCAAGCTGTCTTTGCCAAAGAGGTACAGCGAGGCACGCTTTCTCATTTTCCCTCCCCGAGAGAATTCTAAGAAGCCCATCCCGATCACTCACTCAACGGTAATTATTTACAAGGTGCGATCGTTGATATGCAAACCCCTAACCCCAACCGTCATTGGGGGAAAAGCAAATTGTACTAAATTGTACGAATTAGATCGTACGAATTAGCCACTAAATGAAAAAGTTACGAATTGCCGTGAGATTGTGTTGGTTGAGCACATTCCCAGGAATGACTCGAGCTGATCTTGAAATGGAAATGGCAGACTGCGTTTTATTGCACTGTTTGTTGCCCAGATAAGGGGCACGTTGTGCACGTTAATTTTGATGTTGTTTTTTGGAATCCTCAAAATAAAAAAAAAACATTAAAAATCTGATTTCTTTATTGCATTTCTTTAATTTCTTCAAAGCAAAACATAATGCAATAATATTGTAATGAAGTTAAACTTGATCATTAAACATAATTCATTAATATTGTAATGAAGTTAAACTTGAACATTAAACATAATGCATTAATATTGTAATGAAGTTAAACTTGATGATTAATCATAATGCATTAATATTGTAATGAAGTTAAACTTGATCATTAAACAATTCATTAATATTGTAATGAAGTTAAACTTGAACATTAAACATAATTCATTAATATACTGTAATTAAGTTAAACTTGAGACGGCATTGTACAACAGAGTAGTCACGTGGCGCGTCATTCTCTACAGGATGCTCTGCAGGGAAATGAACATTTAATCATGAAGGCTCAGTATGTATTTGTAGCCAACGAAGTCATTTTTATAGTAGGCTAATATAGCTAATATAAATACATACAGCATGTGTTGCCATCATTATAAGGCTTATATAAGGCTTTTAATTTTTTGCGGCTCCAGACATATTTGTTTTTTTTTTTTTTTGGTCCAATATGGCTCTTTCAACATTTTGGGTTGCCGACCCCTGCCTTAATCCGACTAAAGGCATAACTGAACTAAACAGAAACGAAATTAAGACGTTAGGTATGCAAATATTAGTGGCATTAATGAAGTAAACACCGCAATCAACCAATCAAACAATTACCATCATGTATGACTTTTCGCCATATTTTCCAAAAAGATCCACACACGCAGGTGTCAGTAAAGTACTTCACACATATACTTATCGCAAAATGTGGAAGATTTTTTCTTTCCATTTGGTGTGCGTTATTAAATTCCATAACACTCCTTATTTGTGTCTAATACACCAGTTTGTCATGGAGCATGAATGAAATATTCATAAGTGAATGTGAAACTGCCAAACTGCAGTTAAAATCACTCAAAATTACAGGAAACTCTTACATGAAAGTACTTCACGTAAACACCTTAATTATATTATTGTCTATTAAGGCAAATAACTAGATTACAGATGTTCATGATAGTTAGATGTGGATCTAACATTAATCAGATTCACTCTAGTGAACTGCATCCATGTTAGTGCGTCACGTTTGATGTGGTAATTTCACAGTAACAATACACACAGGTTCGAAAACTCGTTCTCACCCTCTACATTACAATTCGGCCAGGTATACATCTGTGCTAAAAAAGCAAGGTGAAAGTCATCATTGCTCGCGTAGAATAGACCCAGCTCTTAACCCAACTTTGAGAATAGATTAACGGCGGTTACAGTAAAAACAAAAAAATTTCACAATGGAGTTCAATGACGAATACACAAGTCAAGCTTTGCATTGATTGGCTCATGTTTTTTGCATTGTACTCTATCTGTCGAGAGACAGTATTTAAAAAAAAAAAAGTGATTTATTTACAACATTTAACTGAAACTTTTAATTTCAGTTTCCTTTTTTCAACATCAAAACAAAGAAACAAAAAAGATTGTTAAATTCAAAATGACGATCTCCGTTAAAGGTATTCTCCCCAACGTTCCCCAACATTCTCCTTCTCTTCTCAGATGAGATGGTGGGCTAAATAAAAGCTTACCATGGGTCAACTTTGGCCTGTGGGCCCTAGTTTGGGCATCTCTGCTTTAAGCTATCTCATGCCAATTTGTAACTTTTTGATTTGGTGACTAATTTGTTACAATTTGTACAATCTCATTTATACAATTTAGCACAATTTTCTCAATGACGGTTAGGTTTAGGGGTGGGGTTTGGTGCCACGCCTGCTTTTAAAAATCGTACAATTTCAACATTTGTATGAATTCGAATGAATTAGCCACTAAACTACCATAAAACAGTTGCATTTACTTTTGAGATCAGGCTGTAAACTCACAAGTGAAAGTATATAAACCTATTCTGACTTATTCCTGAAATGTACTGTATCTTACATCTCACTTTCAATACTTCACCGTAAACTTGATTTCGCTACAAAAACCAATGAGCTATTGCAACATTTTACAAGAAAATTGTAGTTTAGTTTTCACAATTTCAAAACTTTTACATGCTTGCATGTACATTCATTCATTCACTTTCTTTTCGGCTTAGTCCCTTTATTAATCCGGGGTCGCCACAGCGGAATGAACCGCCAACTTATCCAGCATATGTTTTACGCAGCGCAACCTATCTCTGGGAAACATCCATACACACTCATTCAGACACATACACTACGGACAATTTAGCCAACCCAATTCACGTGTACCGCATGTCTTTGGACTGTGGGGGAAACCAGAGCACCTGGAGCTTGCATGTACATCTTGGAAGTATTTTTTGCAATTATTTTTAGATAATGAACAAATCTAGACCAATTTTGGTGCATTTCCTACTAAAACAGGATATTCAATGGCTAATGACCAATTTTAGACCAAATTTAGACCAATTTTGTTTTTAAATCCTAACTGTGATGCATTTCCTACTGAAACAGGATATTTAGCGGATAATGACCAATTTTAGACCAATTTCGATCTTTATATCCTAATTGGGATGCATTTCCAACCAAAAAAAGGATATTTAACAGATAGTGACCATTTTTAGACCAATTTCAACAGTAAATCCTAATTGTGATGCATTTCCAACTAAAACAAGATATTTAATGGATAATGGCCAATTTTAGACCAATTTCGATATTAAATTTTAATTGTGATGCATTCCTATAAAAAAAGCATATTCAACGAATCATGAACAATTTTCAACCAGATTTAATTTAAATCCTAATTGTGATGCATTTCCAACTAAAAAGGATATTCAATGACTACTAACCTATTTTAGACCAATTTTGATTTTAAACCCTAATTGTGATGCATTTCCAACTAAGAGTTTTCTGCCATATAATAAAACAATTCACTATTTGGTTTTCAGAACTTTAAGTTTACTACCATCTTGTATTGCCTTTTTTTGTTCCATTTCATGGCAGAAACGAGCTTTTACAAACCACCAAAACGCAAAAACATCAACACACATTACCCATTAGAGCCGACTGCCCCTTATCCTGGATGAGAAAAAGTTGCCCCCAGTCTGTGTAGGCAGTCTTCACCCCAAACACCACCAGGTACCCCAGCGACATCAGCCATAGATATGGAGAAAAGATGAACTCTTTGAAGGTGCTTTCATTTTTGCTGGAGCCTGAAATCAGAGGTAAATGCCAAATGGATCAAATGTACAACTGCTTTTGGGAGTTCATTAGTTCAATGAAAGTGACCTTCGACAGAAAAAAAAAAACCTTGAATCAACACACACACACCTTTGTACTGTGTTTAGGTCCAATGGTTCATTCTTCAAAGAACAAATGAATGGAACCTTTTATCTTATGCAGACTTTGACAATGTCATAGAACAGTAATGACATATATAAACCAAGTCAAAGCAAACACCAATAGCTGAGGGTGACCAATTGTGATTTTTAAATCCTAATTACGATGCATTTCCTACTTAAACAGCATATTCAATGGACATTGACCGACTTTAGACCAATTTCTACTTTAAGTCCTAATTATGATGTATTTTCTATTAAAACAGCATATTCAATGGACAATGAGCAATTTTAGACCAATTTCGATTTTAAATCCTGTGATGCATTTCCTACTAAAACAGGATATTCAACAGACAATGACCAATTTTAGTCCTATTTTAATTTTAAATTCTAATTGTGATGCATTTCAAACTAAAACAGGATATTTAGCGGATAATGACCCATTTTATACCAATTTTGATTTTAAATCCTATTTGGGATGCATTTCCTACTAAAACAGGATATTCATTGGATAATGACCAATTTTAGACCAATTTCGATTTTAAATGCTAATTGCAATGCATTTCCTACTAAAACTGCATATTCCACGGATAATTACTAGTTTTAGACGAATTTCAATTTTAAATCTTAATTGTGATGCATTTTAAACTAAAACAGGGTATTTTTAATCCTAATTGTGATGAGTGTCATACTAAAGCAGGATATTCAACAGATTATGACCAATTTTAGACCAATTTCGAATTTAAATCCTAATTGTAATGCATTTCCTATTAAAACAGCATATTAAATAGATAATGACCAATTTTTGACCAATTTCGATTTTAAATCCAAATTGTGATGCATTTTCTACTAAAACAGGATATTTAGCGGATAATGACCAATTTTAGATCAATTTCGATTATTAAATCCCAACTGTGATGCATTTCCAACCAAAAAAAAGGATATTCAACAGATAATGACCATTTTTAGACCAATTTCGATTTTAAATCCTAATTGTGATGCATTTCCAACTACAACAGGATATTTGATGGATAATGACCAATTTTAGACCAATTTCGATTTTAAAATCTAATTGTGATGCATTTACTACTAAAACAGCATATTCAACGGATAAGCACCAATTTTCGACCAATTTTGATTTTAAATCCAAATTGTGATGAGTTTCCAACTAAAACAGGATATTTAGCAGATACTGACCAATTTTAGACCAATTTCGATTTTTATATCCTAATTGTGATGCATTTCCAACCAAAAAAAGATATTCAACAGATAATGGCCATTTTTAGACCAATTTCAACAGTAAATCCTAATTGTGATGCATTTCCTACTAAAACAAGATATTTGATAGATAATGGCCAATTTTAGACTAATTTCGATTTTAAATCCTAATTGGGATGCATTTCCTTCTAAAACAGGATATTTGATGAATAATGACCAATTTTAGACCCATTTTGATATTAAATCCTTATTGTGATACATTTCCTACTAAAACAGGACATTCAACAGAACTGCTGCATGTATACAGTATTGTGAGTTCTTCATACCTCCTTTGACTTTCTTGGCTCCAGCTTCAATATTTGGCAGGCCAACTTCACTGGGCTCATTTCGGATAATGATCAGACAGAAGATTGACGTGACCACGCAGGTCAAGCCAGAGATGGACAGCGTGGACCTCCAGCTGTAGCTTTGAGCCATCAGAGTTGCAATTATGGGTCCGAGACCTCCAGCCAGATTCATACTGCAGGACAGCACTGCCCACCAGGTGCCAAATTGAGATGGTTCGAACCACTGTTTAAACAAATGAATCAATTTATTACGAATGTAAAACGACTGAAAAGGGATCATGTGAGTACACTACCTAACAAAAGTCTTTTCGCCTATCCAAGTTTTAGGAACAACAAATAATAACTTGACTTCTAGTAGATCATTTAGTATCAGAAGTGGCTTATATGAAAGGCAAAGGCCTCTAGATTACGCTTATTTCACCAAAATAAAATATGATCATGCCTTGACTTAATTAATTAGGGCAGTAAGGTCTGACTTTACTTAGACAAAAGTCTTGTCTTGGCAAAGAAAATATAAATATTTTAAAATATTACAAAACATATTATTTTCTAGCCTACATAAATATGAAAAAATACTGCGGTTTTTGAACACACTGCGTTATTGTTGTTCATTTATTCGTTTGCTGAAAATTAGAACTGAATTTGCGTAACAAACGCAATTAATTATTTATAGACTAATTGATGTCTGTGCGTTAAGGTTTCCCTATCCAAGAGCGAAAGTAATAGTAATCCATTATCTCATTCTCACGCAGTAGATGCTCTGTTTAACAGTTTTCTGTTAAAAAAACTGTTAACTGTTAACTGTTTGTTAGTGAAATGCTCAGTTTTTTCACTTAGACTTACTTTGCGTCCTGTAAATAGTGAATGCGCTCTTGGCGCGACGCAGCTGGCTCTTAATGGGGGAATTCTCAAAACACACCTATAACTCGTTAAGAAAATAAACTCAACCATTTTAGACCATGCGCCACGGTGCAAAGCAGATTTTCCCGTCTGTAAATTAGCAAAAATGCGTTCTGACACGCCCTGAAAGCGTTTGCACCCTGCGTTTTGCGCTCTGCGCATGGACCGTCAAAATAGAGCCCTAGATCTTCACAATATATCATCACTAGAGCTTTAGATAACGCCACCCAAATTTGGTGCTGATACGATGAAATTTGTTGGAGTTGTTTGTTACACTGTAAAACATGTCATTTCCTGTTGCCAGCAGGTGGCGTATATAACTGTATCTGTATTTTGGCATGTAATCGTGTTCAGGTCAGAACTTTTATCAAACGTGTGAATTTTGAGACAGGTCGGGCAGTGCATGCCTAAGTTACCACTGAGACGTTTTAGACGAAAAGTAGATCTTCGCAATTTTTTGCGTGTGCGTGAATTGTAGCTCAGGGGCCAGTCCGTCAATTGTGCATAAGTGGTGCTGTCGAGTCATTTTGCCACGCCCACTTCCAAAACCTATAACAAACATGAATTTTCTCCACTTCCGGGGCGTGTGCAAAGTTTTGTGAGTTTTGGAGCATGTTTAGACCCTCAAAATTGTGATTCATTCCGAAAAAGAAGAAGAAGCGGAAAAATAATAATAAACGGAGCAATTCCAATAGGTCCTACACACTGTTTCGGTGCTTCGGTCTCTATAAATGAAATTTCAAAGAAGTTAACAGAAACTTTAAGAGTGTATTTCTATGCACGTCAAGGATCAATCCCATACTGTACCTTACGTAGCACTTTTGCACAAGGTGGCCATCCTAGACCTTGACCTAGTCCATTAAGAAACCACAGGCCTGAGAAGACAGCCACCGAAGACGACTGAGAGAAAATGACATTAATGCCGCCGACTGTAAACAGCCCAATAGAGAAGAGCCATCGTGCGCTCATCTGATCAGACAGCACACCGCTTATGAACTTGCTGATGGCGTAGGCCAGAGATTGACTGCTGGTGATGAGACCTGCAGCACACAAAGATGAAACAAACACTGATTAGTCTTCAGTATAGGGAGTGATTCCTATTCAGAATCGGTCAACAACATGTGGGCTTGAAAAGATGAGACAAAAGAACAGTTTTTCAGGCATTATTGCGCGTAAAAGACTTTGCTGATAAGAGAAACTCAATCATTGTGTTTATAAAGTAGATCCAGGCAACACACCAAATCCCTGCTATGTTTGTAGCTACCTATTTTATGCACATTTTGGAATAATGTATAAAAACCCTTAATAGAAATATCAAGACACGCATTCAATTTTGAAAATGCATATAAAAAAGGCGAGCACACATTATTTTTGTTTATGGGAAATAGAGGTTACCAATATTTGTGTAACATTCTTCTTGTGGCATGCAAAGAGACTATAACATGCAGCGGTTTGAGACAATTGAAGATATTCAGATACTGGGAACACTGACATGTTGAGAATGAAAACGGACATTTTCAGGAAGGGGCAGGAACAATGGTTGATATATAGAGAATATAAAGACATCCCCATTTAGGTGAACTGTAATAGGAAGAGATTTAGCGATCTTATGCATTTGGCTTTTTATTTATTTATTTATTTAGTACTTATTTTACAAGCAAGTTTGTGTGGTTACAAATAGGTAATTATATATTTGCATATTTATATATGTATATGTATGTAATGATATATGTTAGCATGTTTTTTGTTCTTTTAAGTTATTGATCTTTATTGTAAAAAAATTAACAAAATAATTCCCAGAGATGGGTTGCGGCTGGAAGGGCATCTGCTGCGTAAAAACTTGCTGGATAAGTTGGCGGTTCATTCCGCTGTGGCGACCCCGGATTAATAAAGGGACTAAGCCGACAAGAAAATGAATGAATACACAAAATAAAGTAAAAAAAAAAACTAAAAGCTAAGTAGGCGAAACATTTTATCCGATAAAAATAACATGCACAAACTATGCTGGAAAAGAAAAAACTGCTCATGTAATGATAAAAATGGGCATGATAGGATGGCATCAATGGATGGAAGTTGTACATATTATGTTATGCTAGTTGAATATTTTAAGTTTAGATACCATGGTAGAAAATTTACAACATGACTTCAAGAAACATAATGTTTACTTAATATTTGAATGACTATTGACATAAAAAAAACATTGTCCACGTATGACGTGTCACTCATCATAGCACTCATAGAAGTATGAGTCGCATCATCAGCAGCACGTGTGCAATGATGAGCACAGTATCACCCATCATAGCACACGTGCTGCTGATGATGTGACAATAAAAGTGATTTGATTTGATTTGCTAAGATTACACAGGTGAGTGGGCTTGACAAACCAGCTGTAGAAACACTCTTCATTCATTCATTCATTCATTTTCCTTCGGGTTAGTCTCTGATTTATCAGAGGTCGCAACAGTGGAACAAAGCGCCAACTATTTCAGCTTAAGTTTTACGCAGCAGATGCCCATGCAGCTATAACCCAGTACTGGGAAACGCCCAAACACTTCCGCATTTACACACCTATACTGCATGTCTGTGGACTGTCTGTGGACCCATGCGAACACGAGGAGAACATGCAAACTCCACAAAGAAACGTCATCTGCCCAGCCGGGACTTGAGGCTGTGAGGTGACAATGCTTTCTTAATATAGTTAGCCTCTTCTTGTTGAATCGCTGAATGCCTCCTTAATTGTAAATCGCTTTGGACATAAGCATCTGCTAAAATTAAATGTAAATAAATATAATAAACTTTGACCATACAATTAATGTATTTTGGCTACCGTAATTAAGAAATAAGTGAGGTAAGCAGCTGCTTAGGGCCCCGGGACAATGCCAAGAAGCCTGTATTAATCATATAGTTCTTTTTTTACATTTTCTATCATATGTGATCAAATCCTTCTATAACGTTTAAAATTTTACCCTTATTTCTTCTTTTCAAAACTGGGGGCCCCTATAAATAATTCCGCACTGCACATGCGCGAGGTGTGTTGCAGACACTGCCAGTCTGTCAGCATATAATAGAACTGTGGTGGAGGCAAGAGTGCGAACTCTGAGAACATTTGAGAAAAAAAGTAGAATTAAGACAAACAATGAAATTAAGCTAGTTTCACTATCCTCCTTTTAAGCCAAAATACCTGTCAGATAGTGAGCGCAATGAACTTGTTAAAAAATTGAGGGCACGTTTAAATAAAAAAAAAAACATGTGCTATTAAAAAAGTAGCCTAACGGCCACCGATTCACAAACAGCAATTATTCAGTTCATATAAAAATAAATGTTGATAATATTAGTCTGATTGATTGTCAATTAAATAAGTTTAAAGGCTTTTTAAATTAATATTAAAATCTAAACACAAAGATGAACTATGCATAGTTTGCTAACTTATTTTTCTTTTCATTTGTGAATTTATTGCATTTAATTGTACATCAAGAAGATAAAAGTTCCTTTAAATATTAAATCATATAAAATATACTTTAAATCAGGGGTTCTCAACTGGTTTGGCCATGGGACCCACATTTTTACGTGGTCATCAAGCCGCGACCCAAATTCTTAGGAAATATAATATCATTTTCATTCATTCATTCATTCATTTTCTTGTCGGCTTAGTCCCTTTATTAATCCCGGGTCGCCACAGCAGAATGAACCACCAACTTATCCACCAAGTTTTTACGCAGCGGATGCCCTTCCAGCCGCAACCCATCTCTGGGAAACATCCACACACACATTCACACACACACTTATACACTACGGACAATTTAGCCAACCCAATTCACCTGTACCACATGTCTTTGGACTCCACAAACAGAAACGCCAACTGAGCCGAGGCTCGAACCAGCGACCTTCTTGCTGTGAGGCAACAGCACTACTACTGCGCCACTGCCTTGCCCTAATATAATTTTAGGAATTATAATTCATTTGTATTTATTTAACATACACAAGTAGTGACAGATAAATCATGAGGAAATCACCAAGACTTACAAATAAACAATACTTTATCTCTGTCATTTAACAAAATGTATCAAATTACAGAAATATTACAGAGGAAAAACGTCAAATACAGTAAACAGAGGTTAGGGTAAGGAAAAGTTCAGTTACTATTAACTAAACTGAACTGTTAATAAAACGTTAACACTGATCCTGTTGAACAGAAAAAAACAGCAAATTAAAGTAAAATGATTAAAATAATCATAACAATTTTTTTAATAATCACCAGTTATTTGCTCCTGCTATTGTGTGGGCTTTCTTGGCCTTTGCTACACGGTGAGCAGATGTTAGGCACTTTTGTGATGCCCTCAGCTATTGGAGTCGTCTTTGAAAATAGTCCACAGGATTGTCCTTGCAACTGGGAGGTTTGGTTTTTAAATGTCGTTTTAATTTTAAGTTTTAAGCTTTAAGCCTTTTTTGTCTGCAATATATGTAAATCCACACTTTACATATTCAGGGTCGTACTTGCGCTTTGACATATTTTTTGCTATAATTAAATTAAATTTCACATGTCAAGCGGTACGGCTGTTGCGCGCGCATTTTAAAATAAAAGTCTAATATAAGTTAAAAATTAAACTTTTGTTGTTTTTTTGACAACACACTCTGCGACCCACTGAAAATGTTCCCACCACCAGTTAAGAAACACTGCTTTAAATATATATTTTAACATGCATGTTGATTAACAAAAATGTACAAAACAACTCTACGGAAAGAAAAAAAAAGAAAACAGACTTTTAAGTTTCAATGCTAGCGCCCTGTACCTGGAATTGCTTAGGGCTCCTAAATCACTAATTCCCTGCATAAGATACTAGTGTTTTTTGGGTTAAAGATGAAAGGGTTTTCAAGCATTAAAAAAAGTAATGCAGCTTAATTATTTTCAAGTACATTTGAATGTGTTACATACCAGCCACTAAAATACCATTAATTTATCGAAGTGAAGTTTATTTATAAACAAATTTCGAGAGAATCACGTGCTTATGATTGTTCACAGCTGTTCCAACTTTAGCTAATGACTAATTATCCTATCAGATGATCCTTAACTCGCTATAAATTACCAGACTCATCTCAATATCTTCGTCTCGAAGAAACCCCCCCACCCAACCCTACTTTCCCTCCTTTCAAAAGGGCGACACGGTGGGCAGTGATTAGCGCTGTTGCCTCACAGCAAGAATACCCCTGGTTTAATTCCTTTCCAAACCAGGCGACATTTCTGTGTGGAGTTTTGCTCGTTCTCCCCATGATCGCGTGGGTTTTCCCCGGGTCCTCCGGTTTCCTCCCACACTTCAAAAACAAGCACCCTAAACAATTAATCCAACATATTTTAGCCAAACTCTGAGTACACCTTCTCAGCATCCATATCTGACACTTAGCTACAATAAGCAGGAGGGGGAGTCATCAAGATCGACCTGAGCTCAAACTCCCTTCTCGCCTTGAAACGGGAGAGAGCCCAGGGCTCGAGGATCTTATAAGCTCTGGGCTCTCTCCCGGGACAGCACGCCAAACTAGCTTTATTATCAATCATCAGTTAAGTATGAACTCTTGAAACAGAAGATTATACGTCACAAAATCTTGCCTGCAAATTTAAAACAAGAATCATTTAGCAACATTACAAAAAACTTTATTTAGGATCACAAGGCATTTACACAGCTTACAACTGCGTCAATGCTCCTGAGTTTATCATCATTCACAAAAAATCTCTTTAATACGTCTGCACCAAGTTATAAAACATGAATGACCACATAACAAACAGGTAAGTCAAAGTACAGCCCGCTAGTGGCACATGCTCACCCAGATCATCCTTATCCAGTGTGATCTCCTGCATTACAGACGGCATCACGAAGGAGAACGTCTTCCTGTTGAAGTAATACAGCGTGTAGCCCACAAACATGGCCAGGAATATAGTCGCCCGGTAGTAGCCATATCCAGTCTTCGCCATGGCTAAAATAAGCAACAATGAAGGTGTTCTTTGTTAGCGGGTTAGCAGGAACATCTGAGGGCTCTGAACTCTTGCGTGCAGATCTGTAAAACATGAAGAGTTGGTGAGGTCAGGAAAAAGAGGGCTGTAATCAATGGCAGGGTTAATGGTCAACCTAGAAAAGATCTTTGGAGCGTCTCCGGCAAACAACTGCTTTCAAGAGACGCACTGTAACTAAGCTAACTAAAAACTAGCACAGCTATACTGTCAGCAGACCTGCTACAAACAAAACTTGAATGTTTTGTTTTGATTGTGGTCTTAAATGGATAGTTTACCTAAAAAAAAAACATCTCAAAACATACACCCTTTGCTTGTTTCAAATCTTCATGAGTTTCTTCTGTTAAATACAAAAGAAGATATTTTGAAGAAAGCTGAAAACCTGTAACCATTGACTTCTATAGTAGGCTATTGTTTTTTCCTACAAAGGAAGTAAACGGTTACAGGACATCATGTTTCTTTTAAAATATTTTGGGTGTAACAGGAGAAAGAAACTCATAAAGGTTTATAACCACTTGAGGATGATTTATTAATGGGTACATTTTCATTTTTGGGTGAATTAATCCTTTAAATTCATTTTGTGGAGAGTGTTATTGAAGATTTGCTAGTCTAAGGAGATTAATGATTGACGTGGGGTTCTGCATGTGAGGTTTTTTTTACAGGTTTGACCATTGGGGTGTTGTGCAAGAATCAGTGCACTATGATTGTAATCTCTGTTTGGTGGGCAAGAACAAAATGTGCGACATAGTTTACGGTTGTTTATGTCACTAATATGGAGTTATGTCCTAGCATTCTGTCTAAGTATATGGAAGCTAATTTCTGACATAAATAATAAAAACATAAAGAGTTAAATTATGACATGACAAGGTTATAATTATAAACGTACAATGTCAAAACGATCAAATAAATCAAATTTATCAGACAAAATTCAATATTAATAGTCAATAATAAAAACTAATTAATAATAGTCAATATTAAATTAAAATTCTAATTTACATTTTTTTTCCCAGAGATGGGTTATGGCTGGAAGGGCATCCGCTGCGTAAAAACATGCTGGATAGGTTGACAGTTCATTCCACTGTGGCGACCCCAGATTAATAAAGGAAATGACAAGAAAATGAATTTTAAAATTAACATTTTGAACATTTTATATGAAGACAAGTCAAAATTAAACACTTAATTCATAAATATAATATTAAAATTAAATCAAAAAACACTTTAAACTGAAATTAAAGCAAAATTAAATATATGATTTTAAGAGACAAATTTCGGAAATTAAAATATACTAATAATATACACTATGAAATTGTGACACTAATTGTCATAATTCCTAATTATGACATACTTAAATCAAAATTACTACTTAAAAATTAAATCATGAAACGCGTAATTCCTAATTACGACAAATGAAATAATGAATTTAAATGCCAACATTTAGAAATACTAAACAAAAATAATAATATTTTTTTTTAAAAACTTGAGTTTTTAGTCGTAATTATAACATAAAAGTGTTAAATTACTAAATTGAAATTATGACATCATTCATTCATTTTCTTGTCGGCTTAGTCCCTTTATTAATCCGGGTCGCCACAGCAGAATGAACCGCCAACTTATCCAGCACGTTTTTCAAAATGATCACTTAAAAAAAGTGGCAAAAATTAAATAAATGGGAATCCTATGAATATAAAGTAATTCATCATTTAATTGATGCAGATTACCTAATAATTTAAAATTGTATTTTAAATTAAATATAGTTTAAACTGTATTACAAGAATAATAAGTTCATTCATTCATTTACTTTTTGGCTTGGTCCCTTTATTAATCTAGGGTCACTACAGCAAACCGCCGACTTATCCAGCATTTGTTTTATGCAGCAAATGCACGCTTCCAGCTGCAACCCATCTCTGGGAAACGTACACGGACAATTAAGCCTATCCAATTCACCTGTACAGCATGTCTTTGGACTATAGACTAACATGCAAACTTCACACAGAAACGCCAACTGACCCAGCCGAGGTTTGAACCAGCGACCTTCTTATGACAGCACTACTACTAACATCCACTGCGCTACCGCGTCGCCCATATCAAGTTATAAGTCCATGCAGAAATAGGAAAATTGGGAAATCCATGTAAATAATAAATGTTAGGCGGTTCATTCCGCTGTGAAAACCCGTGATAAATTTGGGACTACGCTGAAGGAAATTATAAGTGAGTGAGTAAAATGTTAACATGGCTTGCCAAAAACTTAAAATCAGTGACACTTCACTTCATTTAAATGTTTCTTTTATTCAGGTCCACATAGTTGCTGACAGATATGTTTTTAATTGGCATCTGCAGACCTGACTGGCACCAATTCCCTAATTCCTCGTCCTACTAAGAGTTAAAAGTTTGTAAATGCTGCACTGCGAGCAGGTTTGACGCTGCAAACGTGGCAATGCTATCAGTCAAACAGTTGTTAGCAATTGATCAGCATCCACAACCAAACTTGCAAGTCCCGATCACCTTCCTCTGAGTTAAGAGATTAGTCTAATGGACGATGGAGATTTTACAAATGTCATGATGATAGAACGAAAGGGATACTAGTGAAAACCATAACATGCCTACTGTACTTCCGTGAACAAGAGGCTGCCCTTCGGATGTCAGTTCCAGCAAACGGACATGCACTTTCATTAACCCTTTATCCACGACTAAACCATGTCGACCCGACACACATTCCTCTGGAAATGTTCATGTTATAGTTAATGGCTGTCCTTAAGTCAAATGTGAGTGGATTTCGTCAAGATGATACTCATGTAAAATCCTGAAACACTGGCTTAACTTGTAATTCAGTCAAATGCTGCCACCTAGCGGAGCAGATAGACTAAAACAGCTAGAGAAGTAAGTAAAATTCTATCTATCTATCTATCTATCTATCTATCTATCTATCTATCTATCTATCTATCTATCTATCTATCTATCTATCTATCTATCTATCTATCTATCTATCTATCTATCTATCTATCTATCTATCTCTTTTTCTCTTTCTTTCTTTCGGTTGCGCATGTGCTGAGTGAGTGGGCGGAGCTGTGTGTGAGCGTTTGGCGTGTGTGCAGGTACGAAAGATTTACTTTTTCTATCCTTTTTCTCTTCTTTTTGAGGTTGTTGGCTTCATTAGTTTGAGAAAGAGAATCAATTAAACTTATACCGGAGCATCTGCTCTCGGTTTTCGTGTCAGAATGGCTATGACGGGGAGTCGGAGCTTTGATTTTCTGACACGGCGTCATGGGATCAAAGTGGACTCCACTGTTAGTGTGGAGGAGTGTAGTTTGGCTATAGGTGAAGTTGTCGGCACTGAAAGCATCCTGTCAGCATCTCGTATGAATAATGCGATTGTAGTATTCTTAAAGACGGTTGATTTGGCGAATCAATTGGTTGAAAGTGGAATAGTTATTGGTGGAATTTTCACCCCAGTGCTTCCGCTGTCCACCCCATCTAAAAGAATAACTTTGTCCAACGTACCACCTTTTATTTCGAACGAGGTGCTGACCGGAATGCTTTCTCGCTATGGCAAACTTGTTTCCCCGATAAAAATGATTCCTATCGGGTGTAAGTCGCCTTTGTTAAAGCATGTTGTGTCTTTTCGGCGTTACGCCTATATGATTTTGCAGGACAACTTGGATGAATTAGACGTGGCTTTAAACTTTCGTCAGGACGAATTTAATTACGTAATATTTGTGACTACAAACAGCATGAAGTGTTTTTCATGCGGGGAAGTGGGTCATTTAATTCGCTCATGCCCCGGTCGATTAAACCAGCAGCAAGATCAAAATCGTTCACCTGCTGATGCGCGCGACTCTGAGATGCAGAATCGCACGGCCGCTGTGGCAGGTGTTAGTGACGCGCCTAGCACAAGTCTTCCTCAGAAAACTGTACCACAGACAGTAGCTGAGGTGATCATGACTGATAAAAATGACGAGAAAAGAAATGATGTGGTTGATGTGGGAAGAGACAGGCCGTTACAGGTTGATGAACAGCCTTTACAGGCTGCGGTGGATGTATTGCGCAATAGCAGTGACCCGGGTACAACCGGAGAGCAAGCGTCTTTCAATAAAGAACAGGATCTGAATTTGGAAATGGATTTAGATGACAGTGCTTTTAAGACGCCTCAGAAGAGACGCTTAAAACAACAGAATACAGGTAAACAGGCTAAAAAGACGGATAATTGCGATCTGAGTCAATCCGAAACTGAGAGTGAGAGCGACTTTTCAGAATGCAGTGTGTCGTGCAGTTTGCCATTAAGCGGTTTTTCTAGCCGGGTTTACACTGTGGACGACATAAAGTCATTTCTTAAAGTGACAAAAAATGCCAGAAATGTAAAAATTGAGGAATATTTCCCAGATGTAATGCAATTCATGGAAAAAGCTAAGCTTTTTAAGAGTGAGGGAAGATTCAATAAACAGGAGGTGTATCGACTAGAAAAATTGCTTGGCAAACTTAATGCCCAACCAAGGCTCAGTAATGACAGCGCATAAATACGTTCTCCCCTTTTTTCTTTTCTGTTTTTTCTGCTTGGGCTATTTTTGGTTTTGCCTTTCTTTCCTTTCTATGGAGGAGGTTTTTGTGGCTTCTCTTAATGTAAATGGGGCTAGAGATATTAGGAAAAGGTATCAGATATATGAAATAATTAAACAAAAGAGAATTGATGTTTTATGTATTCAAGAAACACATAGTGATGCATTAAACAGTTCTGACTGGGGTAAGGAATTTGATGGGTTATCCATTTTAAGTCATTTAAATTCAACTAGCAGTGGGGTTGCTATTCTATTCTCTAAGAGCTTTGTTCCTGTTTCCTATCAGGTGGATGAAGTCATAAAAGGTAGACTTTTAAAAGTTGATGCCCAGTTTGAAAAGTATTCTTTTATTTTTATATGCGTGTATGTTCCAGTTAATGCTTTAGAAAGGATGGTGTTCCTTGATACATTGAGTAATGTTTTAAGTAATTGTGACACTGATAAAGTTTTGTTTTTAGGGGGTGATTTTAATTGTACTGAGAGCATGCTTGATAGAAATCATGTTGAACCACACATGGCTTCACAGAAGCGTCTAATTCAATTAATAAAAACCCATGAAATTGTTGATGTCTGGAGGAATTTTAATGGCAGTCAAAGACAGTATACCTGGGCTCATGCTCGTGATAATCTGATTTCACTAGCAAGATTAGATAGATTTTATTGTTTTAAGCACCAGTTTAATCTTTTTAGAAGCTGTTCAATTTGCCCAGTGAGTTTCTCTGATCACAGTTTGTTACAATGTGTTATATCTCAAAGGTCTATTAAATCAAAAAGTGCATATTGGCATTTTAACAGTAATTTATTGTCTGATAAGCATTTTAAGGAGATTTTTAAAGAGTTCTGGAAGAATTTTAGAAATACAAAAACTTCTTTTCAATGTTTGCAGCAGTGGTGGGAGGTTGCAAAGGTACAGGTTAAACAGCTGTGTCAACAATATACTCTTAATGTCACAGGAGACATTCTCCGTTCAATAAAATCAATTGAAAAGGAGCTGGTAGAGCTTCAAATGCTTGTTGACAACACATCTAATTTGGCTTATTTGGACTCTTTTAATAAAAAGAAAAATATTTTAGGTAATTTTTTGGATACCGTTACACAAGGAGCGCTGGTCAGATCCCGCTATCAGAGTATAGAGTTGATGGATGCACCTTCTAAATTCTTTTTTAATTTAGAGAAAAAAAATGGACAAAGAAGGCTTATACATGCTTTAAAATCAGAAGATGGATCTTTGTTGTCAGAACCTTCTGATATTCGAAAAAGAGCGGTGAGTTTTTATGAGCATTTGTATAAAAGTGATCTAATGCATGAACAAATGACTAATGTCTTCCTTGAAAACTTGCCTCAGCTGTCCCAAGAGGCTAATGCTGAGATCAGTAAGGCCTTAACTCTGGAGGAGTTGGAGGAGGCTCTGCAAAGCATGGAATGTGGGAAAGCACCTGGACTTGATGGGTTGTCGATTGACTTCTATAAGTCCTTTTGGCCGGATGTGGGTCCGGACCTACTAGAGGTGCTCAAAGAAAGCCTGGCCTATGGGCGGCTTCCCACAAGCTGCCGTAGAGCAGTTCTCACGTTACTGCCAAAGAAGGGAGATCTGAACGACATCAAAAACTGGAGACCAGTCAGTTTGTTGTGCAATGATTACAAATTGCTTTCAAAAGTCCTGGCAAACAGATTAGGGGCAGTTTTGGAGCAGGTGATCCATCCTGACCAGACATATTGTATACCTGGTAGACGTATTGTTGACAATATATCCTTTATCAGGGATGTTCTGGACCTTGGCAAAAAGCTTAATTTAGATATTGGTCTTTTGTCGCTTGATCAGGAAAAAGCTTTTGATCGCATCGAGCATAAGTATTTATGGGATGCTCTAGAGGCTTTTGGCTTTAGTTCAAGTTTTATCTCAATGGTGAAGGTGTTGTACTGTGACGTTGAGAGTATTTTGAAAGTTAATGGTGACTTATGTGCTCCTTTTAAGGTTTTTAGAGGTGTAAGGCAAGGCTGTGCTTTGTCCGGAATGTTGTATGTTTTAGCAATTGAGCCTTTTTTAATTAAATTAAGAGCAGATTTGCACGGGTTATGTATTCCATCATGTCCAAATGTGTTTAAATTGTCAGCATATGCAGATGATGTTGTTGTTTTAATTAGTTGTCAAGATGATGTTGAATTGCTGTTAAAATTGCTAAATGATTTCAAGGAGTTTTCCTCTACTAAAGTTAATTGGTCTAAAAGCGAGGCAATTTTAATCGGAAAATGGTTAAATGGAGAACCAAACCTCCCCGATGGTTTACTTTGGACCAGAGAGGGTTTTAAGTATCTGGGAGTGTTTTTAGGAAATGAAGCAGTTGTACAAAAAAACTTTGAAGGTGTTGTTGAAAAAATAAAAGGCCGTCTTAGTAAATGGAATTTTTTACTTCCAAATATGTCTTACAGAGGCCGCATATTGATAATTAATAATTTGTTGGCATCATCTTTGTGGCATCGGCTAATGTGTGTGGATCCTCCTTTTAATCTGTTGTCAAAAGTTCAGTCAATATTGATAGATTTCTTTTGGGATAAGCTACACTGGGTTCCGAAAGCTGTGTTGTATTTGCCGAAGGAAGAAGGAGGTCATGGACTTGTGCATTTACAGAGCCGAACAGCAGCTTTTCGGCTTCAGTTTGTGCAGAGACTTTTGAATGGACCATTGGACGCAAACTGGAGATCTATAACCTTTTTGCTAATGCAGTCTTTTGGAAATGTGGGCATTGAGAAAACTTTGTTTTGGCTGAATCCTAAAAGGATGGATTTATCCAAACTTCCAACCTTCTACCGTAATATCTTCAAGATATGGACTTTGTTTACTGTGCACAGACCTTTAGACACAATGTCTTTACACTGGCTGCTACAAGAACCTTTAATCTGTGGTTCACGTATGGACATATCCTTTAGGGGATCTTTTCCTGCACTCAACGAAATCCTCTCATCGGCTAAAATAACAACTCTTGGGTGTTTATTAAAGTCAGCTGGAAAAGACTTTAAAAATGCTGACGCAGTTGCTGGACATTTGGGTCTACATTCTAAACGGACAGTTACCAAACTTCTTGAACAATGGAGGGCTTCTCTCACAACTGAAGAGATCAGATTGTTGGAGGACTATTATGAAGGGTTAACTGTTCCAAATTGTAACGATGTTTTCCCGTTTTTGTCATTATCTCCCAACTTAGAAAACTGTGAAGGGGTGTTTTTACATTGTAAAGATGTGACAATAATT